GCAGGGAGCCCTCAGATAGCAGTGTGAACCCTGGAGGTTTGCATCGAATCCCTAAGGACCCTACATAGGGACATAAGAAACATGTGCTGGGACCCTCAGAGGTCCCTTACTGGGGATGTGCTGGGACCCTTAGGGGTCACGACCCTGGGTCGTCACCCCTAAGCTACCAGCTTGGGCTCAGCAAAATCTGTCGCCTCAAAAGCTCGGCTGAGCTATCAGAGGCCTAAGGTTCTCAGAAATTTTCGAAAGTATCCTCAAGAATTCGTGTGGCCCTTCAGAGGTCTACGCATGTGTAAGGTCCTCAAAGATCCCTGTATGGGCCCTCAGAGAATATGAACACCAGTGGGACTCTCAGAGGCCGGTTTGGGCCCTCTGAAGGCTTCTTAGAGCTCAGTGGAGCTCCTTCGGAGCCTGTGAAAAGCGAGCAGTCATGAGCCCTGTGGCACTTGAACGGTACTTGAGTCTGTCGCAGACATTTGACGAGAGTTGAGAAAGGCCCGAAGATTAACCCGCGCCCTGCTGGGGGGGGGTGTTTGAACACCCCCCCCTTGTGGTTTTTCGCAAATATCTCAAAAACGGCGGCGCGGAGCGCCGCCGTTTTTGGTACACCTTATTATACATCAATTCTACACATGTTGTGAAAATTTCAGACCAAGGTCATTCAAGGTCAGGTCACCAGGTCACTTGAAGTGACCTCACCTCATAAAAAGTTTCAATGTCTGTCATAGCTACACCGAGTGACCGATCGCTTTGAAACTTTCAGCGATTGCCAAGAGCAATAGCATGTACAAAATGTATATCTCAGAATTTTGATATCGATGACCTAAGGTCAGGTCAATTTTGCGACCTCCCCATTATAAGTCAATGGGAGAAAATTGAAATGCGCCTCTTTTGGACAAAAGACATTATAAACACTCCCAAACACCGAATTACAAGTAGTTTAGACACACTGAACATGAAAATGGTGTCCGTGACCCTTTTTTATGCCCTGAGGTCATCTTAGGTCACGAATGGTATCTAACAGTTTTTCGCAAATAACTTTTGATAGAGGCATGCTAGAGCGATGAAAACGCCCTAGATGTGTTCAGCTTGACGATACGGATCGACTGATATGCAACATGACCCTTTCCGGTCAGGTCATGACCTTGACCTGAGGTCAAATTTTCAAGTTGACCTTTCAAGGTCAACTTATAGTTCATTCGATGCGTCTTGACGAGAGGAACACAATGCCGGTAAAAGTAAGCTCGTACAAGGCTTGGGTCAAAAGTTATTGCAGAAAAACTGTTTCCGAAAAAATCAGCTATTTTTGCAGTTTTTGCCCCCTGCAGGCAAAACCGTTGACGTTAGGTCAAATCTGAGAGAATTACTCAGAAAGGGCTTTAATAGGGCTATCGAATGCGCTTTTCCGCGGCGCTGTAGCTCTATTGGTTCTCGAGTTATGCGTTGGCTTCTTGGAAATTTTCGACAATCGACCTGGAAATCGGCGAAATTTTGCCTTCAATGACCTCTGGTGACCTGACCTTTGACCTGACCAAAAAATTGACCGAAGTGATTTCGTCATTATTTTTGACGCTCTTTCGAACGCCGCCTTCCGCGTATCGCTACGTGGCCCAGGAGCCGAGTTACAAGGGGGGGTGTTCAAACACCCCCCCCAGCAGGGCGTGGAAATCCAGGACCCCCAGCCGGGCGCGGGTTAAGTGTCACGCTTTGAACGCAAATTATGTATCAGCACTTCAAAACTTATGAAAATCAGCTATAAAATGTAATAAAGAGCCAACTAGGAACATGGAATGAGAATCACAGTATTGACATTTCCGAGTCTGGAGTCGGCGTCTTGAAGATGTTGGCGACTGCGACTCCCACTCTGGCTTGAACGAGTCTGACCTCACACGCATTCTCAGAAAGGTACCCCCATTTTTTCCCGACTCCAAAATCTCATCGGATCTGTATCGATCTCAGGGGGTGCCCGGTCCGAGGTTGGGGGGCAAGCTGCCCCGCTTGCCCCCCCGTAGCGACGCTAATGGACCTACTTACAATTTCAAGCATTATAAAACCACGACAGATAATTGCTGAAATGATAACAAAACAATGCCCGATGCTGAAAGCCGTTAGCCGATCACAGCTCTTGTCCGCTGGGGCTCTGTTGAGTTCTGCGGCTGCATCATCACTCAGAATGACTTCGGCTCAATCAAATAATCTTTGTAACTACACGCCTGCCTGAGTTGCGCATATGATCGTAGAATTCGTGAAGTCTGGCTAACATTTTCCAAATATCCTGCGCGAGCTGTTTGCATTTCGCGTATGTTTTAGGGCCTTGATTTCGCGTGTCAGGCGTTCCTTCCAAGATTACTTTGTTTCTTCATCCATCTAAATCCCCCTACTGAATATGGTAGCCGAGTCTGAAATGCTAGCACTGTCGTGAGGCGAAATTGGTCCGCTTATGCGTCATTTTTTGTCACGGGGTTTGTTTTGGTTCACTGGGCAACGAGAAAAGGAAGTTGTTGAAGCGATGAGTCAGTGGGAGGGTGGATTATTAGGTAATTTAGAACATACGTGTCAGTCATTTGACCACTTCTAACTGCAATTTTCAAAAGGTAAGTTAACTGTCAGGGTGTAGCAGTGCATTTACTGACTGCAGCTACCCTATGTTTGAACAAAGAATGGCGAGAGAGTGTGGTGCCGATTTGGTGTTGGTTTTTCAAGTTTTCTTATGGGCTGCATTTTCATTATAAAGCACAACATCAAAAGTCTGAAAGGAATTGGATGTTGGGCCTATTTTGGAATCACCTGTAGGGTTACTTTTTCCATTATTGTTATTGTTATCACACCACAATGTTGTGGCACTTTGAAAAATAAGGATAGGTAAAAACGGAAAGTGAAAGAACTGGAACACTTGAGTGGGTGAAGTACAAGAAACCAATAATACTTGCAACATCTTAAAGGTAGAATATTGACAAGATTTACTACTGCCACTGTGGAGTGATGTTAAAATTATATTGCAAGATCAAGTGGCGATATTGGCATTTTTAATCATTAATAGGTTTAACAATAGGTTAAAGCTTACTAATATTCACACTCGGGTGATGTTGATGTGTGAATTCCTGATCCATGATGTGTTTCACATTTAACATATTGATATAATATGGGTGTCAGTAAGGTAGACTTATCAAAAGCTGCCTTATGCGGTACTGTCGGTTGTGGGATGTATGCTGTTTGTATATTTATTTTTGTGACACCTTCATGAAACTCTTGTTCCCATTTGACTCGCAGGCTTTGCTGTGTAATGCTCATTCACTTACGTTTTTTGTGAGGCGTAACAGATTGGTTGAACTTGTGAAGAACTTCACTGATGTTTGATGTAGGTACCACAACTTAATATAGACTGTTATGGAGACTGTTTGTCAATAAAGACTTGATAAATCTGTTCATTTGTCCAAAGCTGACACTATGTGAATTTCACATAACTTGTCGCAGCTTATCTTTTACCCCACAGTGAATGCCACTGACTGCTCTGTGATTTAATGAAAACTTGATCAAAGGGCATTCATCTCATTCTCAAGGGCATTGATGATCCATTAAATAAGTTGAGCTACTTTTGTGTTTTACACTTATTTCTCAGGACTAGTCATATAGGTACAGATGTTCTTAGTTGAAGCTTTTGTCTTGTCCCCTGCTTTAAATTTTTCCTTTGTCTTCTGTGTTTTGCCAGGATGCCTAAAATCAGATATTTCCATAGTGAAATCGATTGGTGAGTTAGGTTGATAAGATTTTGGAAATAGCTGGTATGCAATAGGCATTTTGTTTGGTGGCATGTAGTTAATTTATGCATAACAAATAGAAATTCCTATGGCCAGGAGGAAAAATAGATAGTGGCCACCAGCTACCTATTATAAAATAAGGTGTTTTGTTTGTTTTTGGGTATGGCCTTGGCATAGTGCCAAATCTAAATAATGTTTAATAGATAGGTAAGGTGTTATAAATGATTATAATTCTAAGGTCATATAATTTGTCATGATGCCCATATTTATGGGAGAAACACAATGACTAAAAAGAATGGATGATATCATCATCGTTATATCTGATTAATATGTGTACCCATTCATGATCCTGCTGGAAGTTTCACTAACTCCATCTCCCAATCTCCAATCCCTACAGACACAACATGTGTTCTGTAATTCTGGTTTCAATTCCAAATCAAAGTACCTACCTAATTTAGCATTTGCTGAACCAAAGCTTGCACTGCCAGATTGAACACTCACTGCATGTCAGTGACTATTGTTCACATGGGTGCCTTTACAGTCACAACTCACTCATGCTCACTCCACATAGATCAGTCCCTTCCGTCCCTGTTCATGCTGCCTTCAGTTAATTCCCTGCTCTCATTAGCTCTTGGTAGTTGAGCACTGAGCAGTGAGCAGTCTCGGGGGGGGGGGGATGCCAAACGTCCCAACTCGTCCTCATCTCACCGCCTCTAGCACCATGTGAGAATGTGCTGTGTCTCCCCAGATGTAAACCTGCTAAGCCGGTAGTGGGGAGCACCATGTGACCATCTGCCAGCTGACTGCTGTTCGCAGAGACTATTATGTGACCATTTGCTCTGTCTGTCTTCCCAAGCCATTCAGCCAGTGGAGTTGCTGTTACCATCTATTTTTGTTGTGTCTTTCTCAGCTATGCTGCAGCAGAGCTGCTTGCAGGGAGTGCAGTTTGACTATCTGTTTTTGTTTCTCTGTGTCTTCCCTCAGCTGTGAGCTGCCAGAGCTGCTACTTACAACTGTGACCCCTCTCCCGCTTTCCCGCTGTGAGCCGGCCGAGCTGCTCGCTGTCGGCGCCATGTAACCGTCTGTTCCCCCTGTCTCCCCCAGCGGTGAGCCGGCAGAGCTGCTAATTATAACTGTGGCCCCCTCTCCCTTGGCTGTGAGCCGGCAGAGCTGCTCTCTGCCGGCGCTATGTGCCCGTCTCCCCCAGCAGAGCTGTTATGACTGTTCTTTCCCTGTTTCCAGCTGTGAGCCGGCAGAGCTGCTGTCGGGCGGCGCCATGCCGCTGGACCTGCCCCACGCCGCCGCGCCGGCCGCCTCCAAGACGCCGCGCTCGCTCAAGATCTCGATGCCGCGCATGCGCCACCACGAGCCCGAGCAGCCGGCGGTGAGCGGCAGCCACGGACGCGCTGATGCCGATCAGGAGCCGTCGCCGCTGCCGCTTCGACTCAGGTGAGAGTGCGCTCCCGGGGAGAGGGAGGGCAGTGTGGCCAAATTGGTGATGTTGCGGGGAAAGTCACCCCCAATGAAAAGTATAATAACATCCTCAGAAATTTTAAAATTACATCATCACGACGTTTTTGTCGTGAAAGCATACCTATTATGGTGTAGGAATAAAGACTAAAAAAGTTCCAATGTACGATTTGCACCGTCCTACTCGTACTGCCGCGCTTGTAATGTTTTTTTACATCTTTAATGACAACATTTGAAGTTTTTTTTTGTACTTTTCACCAGAACTTGACGTCAGGTATAGTTTTTTCCACATTACCTGTAAAAACTGCACTTAAAATGAGGTTGAGGACGAGTTTTTTAAATAAAGAGACATCCTCATACGACTTTTTTATACATCGCCCCCCTAACGCTAAACCAATTTGGCCACACTGAGGGAGGGAGGGGGCTGCCGGGGAGAGGGTGGCAATAGGCGGTAGCGGGGGAAAGGAGTGGACAGGAGTGAATTGAATCATGGAGATTTGTTTGTGAAATGTTAAGAGTCGGTCGGTCGACCGGGCCTCTCCTCTAAAGATATGCATTGGTTTGTGTGTGTGTGTGGGGGGGGGGGGGACGTAATATGTTGCATAAATATGAAAGGGGTCGTTCTAGATGTGACATGATGCAGTGGGCGCTACTTGACCAGACAAGTCAAGATGTGCTCGACCACAGTTTGGTGCATTAGTTCATGGCCATTGAATGCGATGTGCTGACGCTATCTTTCAAGTACAGCTAAGTGGCTGAAACTGCCCTCTGTGCATTAGCTACCATTTATCCGCCGTCTCGCTCCCGAGGAAAAGGCTGGCGCGTGTTCAGGGATTGTATTCGTCAGGCATGAGGCAACACAATGGTCAGTCACAAAGCCAGCCTTTGTGAGGTGACCCGCCCAGAAACACTATGCCTTGGCGAATACCTTCCGAAAATGACGGACCAAACAGGAATCCATTTTCAGCAAATGACAGATAACTCTGAAATCGCTGAAACGTATGCAGACGAGCGTACCCGCATGGGACTGCATACTATATACAGATGCAGTCTTCATAAAACATGGCATAACGTACATTTACAGCATCGCGCTATACATTATATACAGTATACACAGGTGGCAGTCGGGGTGGGGGTGGGATGCTGGTCGCGTCCGCTCGGCGCGCCGTCCAGTGAGCGAAAGAGCCTCCGGCCTCGTCCCGGCCGCCGCGGTCGCGCGCCTGACGTCACGAGGTCAATCCTCGGAGCTAGAGCGTCCGATAAATGAGTGTTCGGGTACGGTGCCTGCCCGTCCCGAAAACTAGCATTTATCTGCAAATACGATCCATTAGAATGCTTATCGTTTATCTGTAGGTATGTGCTATTAGATCAACATTACGGATGCTAGTTGTTTGACTTTCGGTCTCGTTCTATGTGGTGTTAGTAACAACGTTTCGGCCACTTGGTTCTGTGGTCGTTGTGAGATGGCGTCGAAAGTGCGGCACTTGACGTCAGTAATACGAACTTCTCGCTTAGAGGATTCCGAAGGGACGCTGCCCAATAGGGTCTAATCTTTTTTTTTGCACCGGCCGCCAGTGTGTTATTTGATTGTGTGCAAATGCAATCCATTCGTGGTCTTTTGCTGCCTTTAGGACGACCTTTAACGAATGTTTCCTTTTCAGATCTCGCCTCAACGATCTATTTTTCCAAATTGAGAAGGAATTCGAAGCGGTTTGCTCAGAAAATGCAGCATGTAAGTACGGAGATTGACACAAACCCGTGATGGTCGTTGATGCTTGCATAATAACCCAATATTCATGTTTGTTAAACAGCTCTCTGGACTCTGGTGTGTGCTGATGCGTTCAGTCAATAGTTTTAATCCCAATCTAATACGTTTTCTCCAGCTTTATCCAGGTTTCTTCCGGATTTGCCCTTCCTCCGTTGGTTTCTGCCTTTCCTCGGCTCTGCCGGTGGCCGGGAGCCCACAGGGAGCCTTTGTGTATTGTTGCTGACTCCACGACCCTGGTGATTGCCCGTATGGAGCCGGTTTTATTGTACTTGGCACAGCTGCTATGGCAACAAACAGTGTAAAGCTAGGGGACTGGGCCATTGTGCCTGGTGTTAAACCGTATTTGTTATGACCGTGCAGCCCAATATAGCTGCAGTTCAGCGCCGGGCGCTAGAACTTACTTATTATTGAACTATGTTTGGATTGTGCTACTGTTTACGAATGCAAAGTGGCTGCTTTTCTAACTACTAGTTACCGGATGTTGCCGGTGATTTAGGGTACAGGGTTGATGCGATGATCGAAAGATACAGGATAAAATTTAGTACCGTTTACGATATAACGGTAAATAGGCTAAACGGTAAATTTACTGAAGATAAACGATAAAATTAGCTAGTTCACTAATTTGTTTCCAAAACACTGACTGACCTTCTTGAGAGGGTGTGATTATTTTACCTGCACAGTGCACACCTTACATCTACTGGCGCGTATTAGGATACCGTTAATAAATGATTGAAGTTGTAACGCGTATGTATACAACTTCAGCCATGCGCATACAGAGGCAGCCTGGATGTGCTTCATGATCCAGGCTTTCATGAAGCACAGCTAACATTACCACTTGTCAGCACCTCGGGCGTCCTCAGGCCTCACACTCTGGGAATGGGCGTTTAGCTTCTTGAGCCAAGTCCGGCAGTGAATCAAAACGTATTCCTCATCCATAATCCGATAAATGGTGATGAGCTATGTTGGCGTTCCGCAGAAGCATGTGTAAGTCAAGTTTCATCACTCCATAATGTTAATGATTGCACCAGCGCGATTGAAATGTGTCCGACTAGGTGGCGCACGTTGCACTTCCTGGTCCAGTTCTGTCATCGGCGATGAATTCACCCAGCGGCTCAATCGAACCTGTGAATCAGACTTAACCTTTTGTCGGCGCTGACAGAACCATACGCCATGAAGCCGTGCAAAAGAAACGTTCATTTTTTGTAATAAATTGAGCTCGAATGTTTGAATGGACGGATTGACAGATCCGGAGCCCACGCTAAGCAGAGCTTGTGGCCGTGTGGCATAGACCCCGACCCTTACCGTCCGATCGCGTAGTTCCGGGTACCGGAATAATTTAGATGCCAAAGTTTAATGCCATTCAAAGGCGGACACGGCCTGTCCCACTCAACTGACTTCAATTGGCTGCGGCTGCTCCCACCAACCAACCGTCAGGAGTCTCAAATATCGAGCGCCGGAGCGGCTCGAACGAACCCGGGCTCTCACTAACGGGAGTTCAACGCTCTACAACGGCGCTACGGCACAGACAATTAGTTTTTTTTATTGTAATGTTTTTCCCTACACTAATTCGTTTTTTTTTTTTGGGGGGGGGGAGGGGAGGAAAATGATTTTTTCTTTGTAAGCCAACTTTGTATTGCCATATTCCTGTTTCAATGTGAGTGTAAAATGATCAGTACGTACAACTGGCACGTACAGAATCATCAATAACTGCAAACATTAATGTCTCGATGTTCGTACTTCTTTATTGATGGCTCATGCAGCCCAGCCCGCCTACACAAAATGACTCATCGAACCACTAACGTATTCCGCTTTCTCTGCCCGCCGACACGGCTCACTCCGTTCCGGTAGCCCGATCAGTGACGCCTCCCGCCGACCATACCCGTCGTCTGTGCCCTCCCTCGCCGATCGGCCCTCCGTGCCGGAGCACTTCCCCCGTGACGCATTGCAATGTGATGGATACGTATGACGCATCGTTCACGCGGTGTGTGTGATTCACGCGGTGTATCCGAGTTGTCCATACACGGTGGCTGACTGAGTGGTGTCAGCGTGTCTCTTTAACATTCACATGATCTACAGCCACATGCTGAATCTTTTCACAATATTGCACGTGTCCACACGTTAGGTAAATTAATTATTAAATTTCACACCGATTATACCTCGTCCACTCTCTTCACAATCCGCACACCACACTGGCCACGTACTGTCCACATGACGATCCACACAGCCTACTGTCCACCTCAGTTGTCCACCTATTCCATCCACCTGACCCCCACGGTCGTCCACAGTGCACAAGGAGCTGGAGCTGCTACAGGAGAAGCCGGACCGCGAGACAGGAGACCGGTGTGATGACACGGACGGAGCCGTCAAGAGCAAACAGAAGCGTGAGTGTGACGCCGGACGGCGCAGCTGTCGTGAGCGGCCGGGGGCGCCAGACGTGATCAGGGATGAGGGATTGACATATCGGGCTAACTAAATAGCGCGTGTGCTAGGAGTCTCTTGAAGTACACCTAAAAAGCTAAGATGTCCTTTTCTATTTTCGAGGTTTGCGCCGCTGCCATTTAGCCTGGTGTCTGGTGCCACCGTCGCGTGCACCCTTTTATTGACTCATTACTTTTGCTCGAGATTGGCTGCATTTACAGTTCTTTTCTAGCCTTTTGGTATGCCTATATTACCCATATCCTTATATTAGTGACTATTACTGACTTCGAGTACACACATTTCCCCTAATTAATTATTCAGTTTCATCAGCTGCTATCCCGCTAATAGCCGTTATTTATTGGGGTAATAAAGCTGCCCACGTGTAGCCCAAATGTTTCCGTGTTCAGCGCTAGCCGCTATTTCCCTGTCATTAATTTGGCGGCCGTTACTGTAGATGCGCCTGATAACCAAAGACATGTCTGTGTATGCCTGGCCCCTGAGTGGGACGGGTTGCGTTTGTGCGGTCACGCAATACCCTGCCTAACGGGCTTCCTTGTGTATCCGAATCAGTATCCTGCCTGACCCGCACACTGTCCGTTCCAGGCGGGGCCCGGCGGCGCTCCTTTCCATCATTGACGCCGCGGTTTAATTCCAGCTCCCTGACCGTCCGTTCCAGGCGGCACACGGCGGCGCTCCTTTCCACCAGTGACGTCATTAATTCCAGCTTCCTGACCGGCACACACCGTCCGTTCCAGGCGGCACCCGGCGGCGCTCCTTTCCACCAGTGACGTCATCTTTGAGCTCCGAGCCGATGACATCCATATCCGACCTATCTCCTGCCCGAGCCTCGGCCATGTACCACGGTAAATGACCTTATCCTATGGTAAACACCATCGCCATGTACCACGATCAATAACCTTATCCTTAAATGGTAAGCAACATCGTCATGTACCACGGTAACTGACCTTAACCATGATAACCGACCTATGCCCTAGGAACCAGTCGTTATCACAGTTACTTGGCGTTATACCATTGCGATGACAGACCCTTGCCACAGATCCGACCTAAATCTCGCTAAAACGGTAGCCGACTTTCCTCTTCTGCTATTGAAGCTGGCTGCGTTAACCAACAACCGTCACCCAATTGGACAAACCAAATGATAATTCCTCAGTAACAATCATTCTAGCTTTCCCTCGCCGCAAAAGCTCTTTTTTCACATCCGTTTTTACGCGTTCCCATCTGTGTCCTCTCAATTCTCTACGGACTCCGTTTGTTCTGTGAGTGCTCGACGCCTATCGCCTTATATCCTGTGTCGCAACCCAACCCTGCTGCTCCCTACTGTCTCAGTAGGACGCAGATGTGTCTCGAGACTGCGCCATTTGCATCTCGGTGGTCAACTTAGGCTGACTGCGGCGGGGTCTACCTTGACTTGATGTCTGTGTAACTTGTCAACTGCCAAGAATCCACCCAGAGTTCGGTCTTTGAAGTGCAGCAGTGTAGACGATGACTTGACGAATCCGAGAGTCGTGTCTGTGAGTGTGAGCTTCTATGCGGGGTTAACCGAGCTGCGACAGCTCTCACCGGCTCTCATGTCTCACCACTCGCTCTCCCCCCTCGCTCGGCAGTCATGTCGCACGCGGCGCAGAAGCTGAAGCCGGCCTACAAGCTGAAGCAGCAGACCAGTAAGATCGTGTCGAGCTTCAAGGCGGCGTCGGTGGTGTGTGCCCTGGTTCGGGAGTACCGCGGACACAAGGACGGCGTCTGGGAGGTATCGGCCGGACGGCCCGGGCAGCATGTGGTCGGCACCGCGTCAGCAGGTCAGTGGAGGAAACAGCGGGAGGAGGAGACGCAGGTCAGTGTGTGGGGGATGGGTCCATGGGGTAGTGGGAAAGAGTGGGATTCTTCGGGTCTGTAACGGGAAGGAGCGGAATGCTGAAGGTCTGTAGCGGGAAGGAGTAGGGTGCCGCATGTCTGGAGGCTGCGGGGAGAGGGATCGCCTTGTCAGAGGTAGGAATAGGAATCAACTACGTCCTGAAGTTGAGGGTCGATGGCGGTACGAAAGGTTTCAAAATTATACTTTGTATTTTGCCTTGTTTTTGCTGATGCTGCGTGACCTGATTTGTCAAATTTCCATGTGTGACCTGCCAAGCCACCTGTGTAACCCTGCATGACGTGTTGTCTGACCGTCCCTCCCCTCTCTCAGACCACACGGCCTGCGTATGGTCTGTGGACTCTGGCCGGTGTCTACTGCAGTACCAGGGCCACGAGGGCTCGGTGAACTCGGTCCGCTTCCACCCGACCCGCGACCTGGTGCTGACCGGGTCGGGCGATCAGACTGCGCACGTCTGGCAGGCGGCCGTCAATATCGACTCGGGGGTGAGTCGGCAGGCGGACGAGCGAGGGGCAGGAAGGGGAACGGGCTCTCAGCTGTGTATATGTGTATTATTTGAGTGAATGTTGATGGATATTTTAGGATCAAAACACTCCAAAATACTGGGTGTTCTGGATGGAGGCGTATGCAGATCTGTAAATGCTTTACTATATTCAACACCGAAGTATTAAAAACGAAGAGCTGAAACACGTCTTGTTTGTTGAACAAAATTCGGCTGTATTTGAAATACTGGATCATGCCCAGGTGTGAGCAACAAAGCATGCTTCCGCACTTCAGTGTCCGATAAAGCCTGAAACTGTAAAGATGCGCCACCTTATTCGCTTGCCTATCTAGATAGGTGTCTAGTTTTGAGACTTGTGTGGAGTGACATGGGGTCCCTAGCCCCTAATCTTCAGGAGTTAGGGAACGTCTCAAATTCCGCAAACTTTTCGAAGCTCATGCTGCATTTGATTTCATTAAAGCTGAGTTAGGTGTGTGTTTGCCGCTAACCGTATTGTAAAAAGAGACTAGGATAAACTCGCAATACATGATCGGCGGTTTCATGCTAATTACATTTGTCAGTACGTTCCATACGTCAAACGTTGAACGTTCACATAAACCTTTTCCCGTTGGTTGTCGCTTACCCTGAGAAGAACGAATCGAGAGAGGTGAGGCAAGGTTTGGTTACTGCATGCCACTATTCAAACACTCCCTTATCATATTTCGCAGTTTGACTCTATGCTCTTCCTGCACCAGTTACTGATTTCAGCCGTCCTTGATTGCGACATTCTGCGCAGTTTTAACAGGTGTCGGGCTACACAAACAGTTGGGCGCGCACTTGTGCAGTGCCATTTTTACTAACTACCTGCACCAACTCTCTGTCGTGCTGCACTTGTGATACTTTCGGTGGCTCCAGCCTGCTCCCTCGTCCACGATTTCAATTACAGATCGACCTGCTGTGCTGGGATTCATAGACAAAATGACAATCCGTGGATAGCGTGCATAATTCAGGGCTGCGGAGTCGATGGATTTTCGGCGACTCCGACTCCGACTCCGACTCCGGCTTTCAAAAACCAGCTCCGACTCCGACTCCGACTCCGGGCAGAATTGTCGACTCCGACCGACTCCAACTCCCGACTCCGACTCCGCAGACCTAGCAGGGCTGCGGAGTCAACAGATTTTCGGTGACTCCGACTCCGACTCCGGCTCGGGTTTCTAAAATCGACTCCGACTCCGACTCCGACTCCGGTCACAACTGTCGACTCCGACCGACTCCGACTCCGACTCCGACTCCGACTCCGCAGCCCTGGTGCATATATAGGACATATTTTCCAGGTCGTCTTTATTCTATTATCGATGTTTCGCAATGCTCGGTTTATTTCGTTACAACAATATTTGTTCTATAATGGCATTCCTAATGCCATTCCACCTCCAGCCCTTTCATATACTTATTATATGAGTAGATGTCCGTAACCTTAATACATACCTTTAGCTATGCAGAGTTTCTAGAATATCGTAGACACTAGACATCGCTGACATCTTAGACTGAGAATACGGCAGTCTGTTCGCACCCACCCCTCGACCTCTCCCATCAGATTATGGCTATAGTACCTGAGGGCTGTTGTTTGCTTATGGGGACTAGCTTGTGCGTGACGTCTTCTTCTATGGACATTTTTCGTCAATGTACTACCTAGGGGCCATCCTCCTTTGCGGTCTGTTCACGACCTGTTCGCGGCCTGTTCGCACGTCACTCTCCTCCGTGAACCATCTCAGCTGACCAGCGCCTGATTGTGTTCCTTTTTTATAACTGTGCTCCCCTCTCATGAGTCACGACTGTGTTCGCCTCTCACGGCTGTGCTCCCCTCTCACCTCCCTCCCCGCCTTCCACCAGCGAACTGTGTCACCTTTCCCCTGTCTTTCCGTCTTCACTAGCGTATCATGCCCCTATCACCGGCTCGCTCTTTCATCAGGGACTTATGTCGCCTCTCACCACTTTTTCTGTTCCATTACCGACGGGCAATTTTCCCACTAACCCCCTCCCCTCATCTCATCCTCTCTTCAGCGGGTCATGATCCTCTCAGTCTCCCTCTTTACCGAGCAGACCACGCCCGTCGCCCCCTCTCAATCTCGTCCTCTGTCTCCCAGGGGTCACGTTCCTTCGCATTCTCTCCGTCTTTCCGCCATGTCGTCTGAAGACTAGGACCCTTCGGATATGTGTAATGACACTCTCACCCTGCCCCCCTTTCTCTCCCTCTCCCTCTCTCCCAAGCTGCTCACTTCCCCCTCTCTCCCCAACGGGCCATGTCTTCTAAAGAGAACGTGGACCCGTCCGATATGTATGACGACCCTCTCACCCTGTCCCTCTTTCTCACTCTCCTCTTCTGTCCCCCAGCGGGCCATGTCATCTGAAGAGGAGGTGGACCCGTCCGACATGTACGACGACCCTCTCACCCTGCTCTTTCTCCCCTCTCTCTCTTTCTCACTCTCCTCTTCTGTCCCCCAGCGGGCCATGTCGTCTGAAGAGGAGGTGGACCCGTCCGACATGTACGACGACATGGCTGCGCCGGCCGAGGGTAGCAATGTGCTCCGGACACCGATTCTGGAGCTGACTGGACACTCTGGGGTGGTGATCGCCGCCGACTGGCTGGCAGGAGCCGAACAGGTGAGTGGGGTGGGGGCGTGGCGTGGGAAGGAGAGGAAGGAGGAGAGAGCGTAGGGAGGGGAGATAGAAAGACGAAAGGGTGGTTGACTGTAGAAGAAACTCAGGGAGGTGAGGCAGTTCATACGAAGTGGGGTTTCGGGAGAAGAAGACGGCGTCATTGTTGTGGTTTGGGTTTGTGGCTAATTTTAGACGATCATGAAATGCTGCCTCGTATTGCTACGAGAATATGGTTCATTACTACGTGATAATGAGTTTGGACTTTGGAGAACTATGATTTTGGGATTTAAGTGCTGAAGTTGTGGGAGTAAGTGTTTTGGGTGGCCTTGTTTCGGTTAGCCTGGCCTGGTGTCTCTTAGAACAGGACGGTGCTGTGACCTGACCTGACCTGCAGGTGGTGACCGCCTCGTGGGACCGGACTGCGCAGCTGTTTGACGTCAACACGGGCGAGAGTCTGAACACGCTGGCTGGCCACGATCAGGAGCTGACGCACGTCTCGGCGCACCCGAGCCACAAGTTCGTCGTCACGTCCAGCAAGGACTTCACCTTCCGGCTGTGGGACTTCCGCGAGCCCATCCCCTGCGTCTCCGTGTTCCAGGGACACACAGAGTGAGTGAACGGACCGCGGCTGGTGCTGTATCAATGCCTCTGGTAACACTGGACCAAAATGACAGTAGTCGGCGCGCCCTAAAGCCCCCACGAACACTGAACAGTTGAACACAGATGTCGCTTCGATAGAGTCCAGGCTTCTGTGGTGGACGACACGAAAATTTAGCTTCATGAAGATGCCAGCGAGTTCTGCCGTGCATCGCGCAGCGGTTGACGACAGGCAGCAATTTATTGACGTGGTAGATAAGAGTTGCATGCGTCATTCTCATTCGACTATTTCTGCCTGTTTTCTGTCGTTAATTTTATCTCCCATTCAGATTGGCTATCATTGTTCTTCAATCGGCTCTCGTCACCGGTACCCTGTGTGTTCATCTTTAGCAGTTATGATCCCTCCGGTTCTGCGACACCTGAGCGAGCGTCATTTCAGCGAACGACATTTGAGCGAAGCCTTTTCAGCGATTATCAATTTAAGCGATTGACTTTTTCAGCGATTGTCAAGTCGGCGAATTCAATCACAGCGATTATCAACTTAAGCGAGGACCAGAATCAGCGAAACCAGATTGAGCGAATATATGGAGGCCAATGGGGGACCAATTGAGCGAACACGCGAAACCGAACGCGACGGAAGTCAATCATTTGCTACTTTTCGGGAATTCTTGCCCTTGGAATACCCGCTTGGTGTGTGTCATGCTTCAAGCTGCGCGCGGCAAATTAAAAATTTTCTTTTAAGCTTGGAAACCACAAAAATATCTGGCCTCATTCTGCAATTTTGATCTGGAAATGTGGAACGTGAGAGGACGATGGAAGGAATGCCAAGGACCAATAATAAACTCGAGAGATGGCACAGGGGGATCCAATTCCAGTCTATGTTTCATGGACCTCACCCAAATATCTGGAAATTCGTACGGTGCTTGGGGCAAGAACAAATTTTACAACATGGGGAACTGATCCAAATTCAAGCGGGAGAATTTCGCGAAAAACAGCACAAGCAATATGAATCTCTGAACAAACGTTTGGTCATCATTATTGGCAAACAGCAGGGGGGGGGGGGGGGTGAAATCGAACCGCTGTAATTTTTGAGAAATGTGGCATTAAATTTGGAGCTTAATGTCTGAACTTTGAACGTGGCATCCGCCATCCAGTTCCGGATAACCATGAAAAGTTCCGGAAACATTCGTTGTACGAACGCTCGCAAAAGAAAAAAAAAAGAAAAAATACACCGTTACGGGACGACGAAGTGTTTCGCTGAAATGACAGTCGCTCAAACCGTAGTCGACGAAAAAGATGTCGCTGAAACATAGCTTTCGCTTAAATTGATAATCGCTATATTTGATAATCGCTCAATTTGATATTCGCTAAGTTGCCAGTCGCTGAAAATGGTTCGCTCAAATGACGTTCGCTCAAATGACACTCGCTAAAGTCGCTCGCACCGGATCCCTCCACTCCCACATCCGTCTCTTTTGACTTTTGACCCAGCGGCAGTAGTCCCGTAGCTCCTGTGTGACCTAGTCGGACTCGACTTTAGCAGCATTGACCTCCTGAGTCGCCACACGCCAAGCGCCACGACCTGACCCTCCCCGCCTGACCTCTGACCCTCCCTGTCGCCAGCGCTGTGACCTCGGCCGTGTTCAGCCGCGAGGATAAGGTAGTTTCTGGCAGCGACGACCGCAGCTGTAAGGTCTGGGACCTGAAGAACATGCGCTCGCCACTAGCCACCATCCGCGGGGACGCCGCGGTCAACCGGCTGGACGTGTCGTCGGCGAACGTCATAGCGGTGCCGTTCGACAACCGGCATATCCGCCTGTACGATATGAACGGCCAGCGTCTGGCCCGACTGCCGCGCTCCAACCGGCTGGTGAGTGGCGCGAGAGGAGAGAGGAAGGAGGGAAGAAGGAGGGCTAGAGAGTGCTGGATGGGTGGAGGGGGCGGACGAGAGATGGTGCTTAGGCCGGGAAGGCAAGATAGGGGTTTGACAGGGTTGGGAGGGTTGTGGGGGCCACTTTGTAGACGCAGCGACCGATTATTGCTTCGCCGGCGGCAGAGGGCAGTCACGATGCTCAATGTCGGTAGAGGTCGCCTCTAGTGTTCGTACGAGTGCGGTGTAGACTAAACAGAGCCATGGTAACAAGCAACATATCCGTGATTACGGAGCGAGCGAAGCGAGCGTAGTCTTTCCTTAAATTAACGGAAATTTCTGAGTATGAGCGGCCGGCCGGCCGGCCGTGCGGACGCTTTTGCGAGGCTTATATCTCAGCAACCACTTGACCGATTTACATGCGGTAATTTTTGTTGGGTAGCTTCATTCCTTCTACCAAGTATTGGACTATTCCTGATGCATGTGGGTGACCCCTTTTGCACGTGCCACGTGCAAAACGAAGAGGTGTCAGTTTTGTAATTGTTGCAATATCTCGGTAACTACTTGGCCGATTGCGCTGAAAGTTGGCATGTAGGTAGGCACCCACTAGGCACTGCATATCCATGTGCCAGAGTTGGGGTGGTGCTGCACGTGCGCACGTGCAGGGGTCGTTTCCAGATCTCGAGAACGGCTCGACCGATTGCGCTCAAATTTGGTACACAGTTAGGGACCGGTTAGTAGGGTGCCGTGCACAAGTCAGTTGGGAGTTGGGACCCATTTTGCACGTGCGCACGTGCAGGGTGCCGCTTTCAGATCTCGAGAACGGCTGGGCCGATTGTGCCCAAATTTGGCACATCGCTAGAGACCGGTTAGTAGGGTGCCGTGCACAAGTCAGTTGGAGGTTCCCCCTCGCAATTTCGCACGTGCAAGGCCCACCCTCTCGCTCGCTCCGTTAGTCGCCCCAAAAGGCGTTATACTGGTTGAGTATTGTGTGTTGAAAAATGGCAGCGTTCCGTACTGTCTGTCCTGCGTTACCTCGGAGGTGGTTTGGTTTCATATCTCACCCCCACCGACCCTTATCGCTGTGTACCGTCCTCACCGGTCTGACGGCCGGCCGTCCCTCCCGCAGGGCCACCGGCGCATGGTGTGCTCAGTGGCGTGGAGTGACGACCTCAGCTCGGGGCGGCCGAACCTGTTCAGCAGCGGGTTCGACAACACGGCCATCGGATGGCTCATCACCCCGCCCAAGGACAGCAAGGACTAGTCAGCGCGCCCCGAGCGCCGTGTGATATCTCGACCGACCAGTGACCGCCGCCGTCGCCGCCGCCGCCGCCGCGGCTCGCAGAGCTACCCTTGCCCTTTCAGTTGCCTGTTTGTATACGGAGCGCGGTGCCGAGCCGGTCGGCCGCGCGCGAGTCGCCCCTGCGCGAGCACAGAGCTAGAACACTGCTTGTCGACTCATCGCGCGGTCGTGATGTTTTTCAGCTGTGAGCTAGGAGCGGCCGCGCGGCGCCGTTAGGACTGGTAACACGTCTTCCCGGGGCGGGTCGGACGGCCCGGCCCGGCCCTGCTGTCCACGGACCGTGGCCGGGCCGGCCGCCGGACCGCCCGTAGTCGCCGCCGCCGCTGCCACCGCGCCGCGTCACCCACATACAATCATAGGGGCGGTCACGTCCGCACTGCCCACGAATTGTGTATATGTATGCATTTGTGTGAGAGAGATGTCTTAACTACAGGGGCGGCGGCCGGGCCGGGGTATGTGTTAGGAGTTGGCGACTGACGAACGCTGGAGTTTTAGTTAGCTCGGCAGTGACTTGCCGAATGGGGAGGGGAGTTGAAGGGTCACGGATCGCGACTGTGTCAGGTGTGTGTGGACCCGGTGACAACTCAGAGAGTCGGAGCACCCAGGGCATTGTCTCCCGAGGCCAGTCAGAGGTAGACCAGGCCAGCAAGGCGTCCGTGCGCCGTGAATGATGCAGATCTGCCCGCGCCGCCGCCGCCGCCCCGCGCTAGGAACAAACTCGGCCGCGCCCGCCGCGTGTGCCGCGTCTCAGTGTGGGGGCGCCGCACGGACAGGGCGCGGCGCCCCCGTTTGGCCTCCGTGTGGCCAGGGCGCCGCCCGCCCGCCCGCTGTAGGCGGCCAGTGCAGTGTATTAGATACATATACAGCGCAAATACACAGCTTTCCCTGTTTACTGGGCATTTGGGGATGACCGCTGACATGCCGAGTGTTATTACGCGTCAATAGTTTGACGGCTGTGGAACGAGAAGTCTCGGACGGGTCAATGTGCCTTTGATATCCGGTGCCTAGCGGGTTTCGGGTAATCTCGTCAGGCATGCATCCGTGTTGACCACGAACCACCTCATAATGCAAATCCAGATTTTGAGACAAACTACCGCGTTGCTCGCTGAAATCCAGTCTGTATTATGCCACTAAACAGAACAACAGTTTCATTTAGTTTTTCGGTATGGCGACGTTCGTGCGTGTCGTAGCGCACTTGCTAATGCTATGTCGTCCGAACTGGGACTTAACGATGTATTTACGACATATTGCTATGATATTGCTTACAAGGATGCGTCGCATATAGCCGCAATGCGATTGATCACAAAATTAACGACCAGAAGAGGGATTAATCACACCGAAAATTAGTGAGGAAATAAAGTAATTGGAAGCAGTAATGAGAGACGCGCCTTGCTTTGTCAGACGGGTTTTTGTAAATGCCCACAAGGGATATCTGCAGCTGCAGAGCTTTACTCTCTCATACGTGTTTTGTTCCATATCTTCAAATATCAAATATCAGTGAGACATCCAGTCACATTCCTCGCTAAACATAATGACGAAACGTCTATAAACATGTATTAATTCACACTCAATCATATTCTCATACATGATATCTCACGTAACCACCCAAGCTCGATCTCAGCAGTCGAAGATGAGCAAAAGAAGAGGAGCTGCCTCGATGCAACGTGAATATATATCTTCTTCAAAAAACGGCGGCGTCGACCGGCACGCCGGCTGAGCGCAGCAGGGCTTTTGATTAACCTCGCATCATCAATCGCTTGTCGGGAGGCGCACCGGCCCCGCGACGGCCAGATCCAACCACGGAAGACGAAATCAATAAGCGTCCGATACTGGCAGCACACTGAGAGCGCCCCAAGCACCGGCCCTTGAGCCGCAGACCCTGGACAAAACAGCCGGCCGGCCGGGCAGGCGTCCCGACCTGACCTGAGCGAGTCGCACCCACCAGAGGCAGTGGCGAGCGCCCCTGATCACACAAACAGTCCACCAACACACAAAACACCCCAGCGTAACATGGTCAACAATCGGAAAACATGGCAACGTCGGGCTGAGCCCCGGCAGAGCTCCCCTATTGGCATCGTTGGCATTTCGTCATTCATGGCCCCGCTGTCGGAAAACATTGACGGGCGCGTAACACTGGCACATACATCAGCGCCTGGTTAGAGCGGTCGGTCACAATAATTGCACTTCAGTATCGGCACCGCCCCGCCGCCCGCTATCATGGCACATGACGTCCACTCCTCTCGCCGCTGTTTCCCTGGCGGCCGTCTACCTAAGCTCTCCGTGCCGGTCTAGCTTATTCCGTCTCCTCCCCATCACGCCCCTATCCCGTCCCAAGCTGTCATCAGCAGGCGCACTTGGACTCCTCTACGGGCGTGAGCTGCATGTGCGCCACGTCTGGGGCCGGTCTGCCGCGCCGGCCCGGCAGTGTCGACTGGTCGGAGGCCTGCTCCATGCGCCTCATCACCGCCTCCAGTAGCAGCTCCACGGCGGCGCGGACATTCTGACCGGTGGCCGCCGATGTCTCGATGTATGTTAGACTGGGGGTAGAGAAACGGATCATTGGGGTATCGTAAGGGCAGTGAAGAGTTTTCAGGTAGACATCAGCGAAACGAAAAACGCTAACTAATCGTAGTGGGTGATCATATGAGAATACGAGGATCAGACAATCAATGCAGACTGCAGAGCATAAAAAATTGCTAGTGGGTGGCCAGTGACGACATCGGTAAGGGCTCTCGTCGCAAAACGTACAAAACTTTTGCTGTTGAGCCATCGTTCGGTACAATATTATTTAATCACACTAGCACTGCCAATTCCATGAACTCATGCTACGACTTGCAGCTCATACATTTCACCTCATGAGCTCACTACAGTCGCCCTTTGCTACGTTGGTGCGCCATCCACGATCCAGACATTAAAACATAATTCATTTTGATCCTCAGAAACCTTCCGCTCCCCGCCATGACCATAATGTTTAACCCTCGCCCGACGAGGGGGGGTTGATGCAACCCCCCTAAGATTTTTCGCAAATAACGTAAAAACGGCGGCGCATAGCGCCGCCAAATTTGGCATACCCTCTGGGGCAAGCTTTTGGCACCTTCCCTGAAAATTTCAGGTCTCTGCCGTTTCAGGTCAGGTCACCAGGTCAGAAAAACCGGTACAAGGTCATGGTCAAATTTCAATTTTCTTTATGCACCTGTCCAACTCACAGTTTTTGACTGATTTCCTTGAAACTTTCAGGATGCCCTAAGTTCACCGAGTTGTATAACATTTATTCCGGTTTTTTTCATGTCACTGACCTGAGGTCAGTTAGAGGTCATTACGTCGTAATGTTAAGCCTATGGGAAAATATTCAATTCGGAAAATACTGGCGATATCCGCTTCGTTCTATCACTTTAGTGCTTTGAAACAACAGTACTTAACATTATGTCACTTGGTGCTTCTTTGTTTGGTGTACTTATCCATGGGTCAGGTCAAATGAGGTCAACTGAGGTCAAATGAGGTTTGTGCCAATAACTTGTCACACAATAAAGATACAGCTTTCAAAATGGCATCATTCTGTTCCTCTTGAACAGCCGAGTCGAATGATATGCAACATTAAGCATTTCGACCATTCTTAAGACTTAAGATGTACTTAAGATGTGCTTAACTTTTTAAGTACACTTAAGCAAGCAAACAAGTATATCATTCGACGCGCCTTGACGTGCTGAGTTCACTGGTGCTTTTTTTTGCTCTATCTTAGTTAGATCAAAAGTTATAAGCGAAAAACTTTTGGCCTGTTTTAGCAAAAATTTTACACTTATACCCCCCCAAAACCCCCCTAAATATTGACCTAGAGCAACCAAATTTGCACAGGGGCGAGACCTCCCATAGACCCATCTACCCTGTAAATTTGGTGTTTCTAAGTGCCATAGGAGCCAATCGCCAGGGGGGGGGGGGGGTCGTACCAACATACCCTCGCCGTCCGTGTTATGGAAAAGGCCCTCGTCGGGCGAGGGTTAATATGCGGGACGGGACGGTCGGCGGTAACCAGTGGAAGTTGGCAACTCAAGTTGGATAAGTTATCCCGGGGCGACCATTAGCGAGACTCCGTGGCCTGCCACTTGGACTTTTCTTCGGGACGGCTGAGCAGAGGGACATCGAAACAAAATAACTCCCCTATCCTAATTCCCCATGACCATTGGCCATGCAATGGTTTCGTAGGAGTGAAAGCAGCTAAGCTAACCAAACCAACCAAATAGCCTCCGACGTAGCCCAAAAGATCTCAAAATCTATAAGCTATCGCCATGTATAGCACTACCTTAGCGCACACATCTATTAAAACTACCCACACGTGAGACACCTTATACCACTCGTGTTCTGAGCCCCTTATACCGTTTCCCCGATCTCCTAGCTACCGTAAGGAGCACGTCTGTCGGATACTGTAACCTTGCGCTCGTGATGGTAAGAAAAAAGAAATATAACCTGAATTCTCGCGTTGTGTTTTAAAAGAAGATGTTCCTTCTGGCTTTTATTGCCTTTAGCCAAAAGAGGTTAGTAAAAGTGTGGCCGCAAGTGACCAGGCCCGACAGTCGAATGCCGGGGGCTCAGCCCGCTCCGGCCCGGCCACGGCTCGGCCGGCACACGATCTTACACGTCACACATGTACGTCATATCCCGGGGCCAATCAGGAAAGGATTGCCATATTAGGAAGTAAAGCTGGGCGATCGACATGGAGGCTAATTGATAGGATAGGGAAGGTACTTCGTTACAGATACTGACCCGTGTTTATCTGCCACGTCCCGGGCGCGTTCCTCGGATACGGCTCTCTGCTCCAGGTCGGCCTTGTTTCCACACAGCACTATGTCGGGGTTATCGCAGTAGGCGTGCGTCTGAAAATACAACACACAAGAGGATGTGAAAGCTGTGGAAATAAAGCATGAAATACAATCATAAAGTGCAGAAAAAGACCCGCAGATCTACGAACAGCTTCTAACGAAAACTAAACAAACAGTACGCTGAACACACTTGGAACACTTGGAATTTAATCAACAGAAGAACTCCGTTCCTCGAACGCCTGTGAAGGAGACCAGGCCGCGTCAAATCTTTCTAGTGAACCGTTTACCCAGCGAGTCACTCCAACAATCTAGCTCAATACAGCGCGGCCAATCGAATCAGAGACTATCGATCGGTGACCGGTCGAGGTAGCGCGTCTCGAGCGGCCCCGCTGGTGAGTCAGGGAGGTCACTTAGAGGACACCCAGGTCGTACAGATACACACAGACACTCTGACACCGAGGTAATTGCGTGGGTAATACACACCGCAGACCGACTGGGGTTTCGTGCAACTCATAAACAGTGTACACAGCAGTGGCACTGACAGTGAAGCACACGGGGCGGGAGTGGCGACGAGCTTCAAAGCATTGATTAACGCAGCCTTCACATTCGCTAGCGGGTGTCACCACCAGTTACCGTCGCCTCCCACATGCCGCAAAACAGATCATCAAACATGTCGGGGCCGGGATAACAATTTCACCCGTTTGATGTGTGAAATATCAGATCTGGTGTGTCTAAATCCAGGCATCAACCACGATCTCAAAATAGCTTGAAATCCAGCCTAGAATAAGGCCACACAAAATAACAAGTTATCATCTCCACAATACACACAGAGCACACGATCATCATTGACCTCACTTTACTGAAACCCATATCACACCCGAACACAACGTGACCTCATCCCATCTCACACAACCCTACCGTCCCCTCCAGCGACGGAAAGCTGACTACAACGTGACCCCGTCCCATCTCTCACAATCCACCGTCCCCTCCAGAGACCTCCAGAGACGGAGAGCTGACCTTGAGTTGGTCGAGCCAGCCCTGGATGGACAGGAACGACTGTTCACTGCTCAGGTCAAA